AAGCGGGACTGGCCTAGGGTAATTTTTAAGAGGGGTTTTTAGAGGGGTTTTTAATTATATTTTAAATTAGACAAGTTAAATATTTCATTTTAATTAATTTTAAATTTTGTGATGTTATTGGTGTTTTTAATTGATTGTCAGCCGCCCTGAGTCCGCAAGGAGAAGGGCGGGATATAAATTCGAACAATAAAATAAATTTCCCCCTGAATATTCTCTATGTGTGATTATAATTGGTAAAAACTGATGGCAAAGTTTCATCCCATTTTGAAATGGAAACATATATAAACACTGATATCCACCCTACAAAGGGCATTTAATAGTTAAAAAAAAACTTCAGAAACATGGATTCTGTTCACCTAGCATCATTCTTACATGTAAGGTGTACTCAACCTGTCAAAGAATGTGGCACATGGCCTTTGTACACAGAAACATTCTACCTCATTTTGAGATATAGTTTCTTTTAATTTTGGCTTGTTGAACATACCATAATGGCCTGTTTCTACATGGTGTTATGTGGGGGAGGTTCATAAGACACAATTATTGGATTATAATATTGCATGACATAAAACTAATACATGGTTGGATAGTTTGTGGTTAGCGCATAGTCACTGTGGTTAGTTTACAATTCAGCTTATTATAAAAACCTGGCTATTGGGTTAATTAAGCAAATCATGGCATAGAGATAATCTGTTTGGTACCTTCTCTTGTTATATACTAGACCCCCTGATTGGGACTATTTTTAAAAAAATAAAGATTCCTTTATTATTTTTAAGGGAATCTGGTATGCTGCAAAGAAAAACAGCAGCCACAGTGTTTATATTTATGGGGCAGAATAGCATTATGTATTATGATACATAATACATACATAGCCTCAGGCACTTTAAAGTTCCAGGCATGTTACCAGCCCCCAAAGTTGCCTCTTCTTGCTTTAGTTTGATGTACAAATACAAATACCCTGTTCACTATATCTATCTATCTAAATTAAAATGTAAATGTTTGTTTGATCAAAATCTTCAATCTCCGAAAGTTCTTCACCGATTGCTTTGAAATTTTGACACAATGTTGCATTCAAATACGCGCGGGTTTTTATATACCTACTATCATATACATGTCACACCTGTGATAGGTAAAAACATGCTTTTTTAAAAAAACAGAGCCATCTGTTGGACGTAAAAGCAACACACGCTACAGCAACATTAACCAGACTGAGCCACAGCAACGCGTGGCCGGGTATAGCTAGTGTTATATAAGAATGTAAAATGTGATGCATTTTTTTTCTGATCCCAAACTCTGAATTACAGTACAATGCTGTAAAGCAGGGACAGAGAAATTAAGAACCTCAGATGTTGCTGGACTGCACCAATGGTATGACTAAAGGTCAGAAATGATATGGGGTTGATCCAGTAACAGCTGGATGTTTGTCCTTATTCCATAAAGTTCTACTCACTCACAATCTATCCAGCTCTCAGGGATTATGGTGGGGAGATAGTCAGGACCATTAAACAGCATCACATACATTTCCTTGTGTTAACACTGTCTTCATACTTTGCCCATTTTATGGTACTATTGAGAACATCTTCCACTGATTTAATTTCCATTAGAATGGAAACATGTAAGTTTAGTGAGGATAATCCATGTTGACTTTTTTAATGAATGGAAAATGTTGCATTTTTTTGGCTTGCAGGCCTTTTTCATTACTCACTTGACCCACTTCCCTCTTTCTCTAGGTGGTGTGGGGACTGCAGCAGTCCAACTCTGCAAAACCGTGGAAAATGTCACCATTTTTGGCACAGCATCTTCCTCCAAGCATGAAGCCCTCAAAGAGAATGGGGTGACTCACCCTATTGATTACCGGGCAGCTGATTATGTGGCTGAAGTCCGGAAAATTTCTCCCAAAGGTTAGTAGAGGCTGAAGAAAGGGATGGGGTGGAGCAAGACCATCTGAAATTTCTTTCATTTTCTGTGCTCCTGCTTGGGACACTCTGGTATTATGGGAGCTGAAAAGAAGGTGCTTGATGAACTGGCATAATTGGAATGATTTATTATTTAGAGTTTTAATTTTTAACTTGCAGAGCATGACTAATCATATGAATTGAAGTTAAACAAATCAGCCAAAATGTGCAGAAAAATGTCAAACAGAAAGTATGATCAGGGTGGTGATGGTGATGATGGGGTTGATGTGTCACTGCAGGTTCTTAAAAAAGACTCTCTTTTTTTGGGAAATGTTGCTCTCCAAAGTTGCCAGCCCACGTTATTTTATGTACTTTCATTATAACTGCAGCCCAGCTTAATCAGGGTAACCTTTTTAATCAGCTTAAATAAATAACGTGAGTTGGTGGTGCTTTGTAGAGGTATCAATCTAAATTAAATCTTTCAAGGATGAAGATTACTGGATTCATTCTGAAATCTGCTCAGACCATACCTTTATCCGGATTAATCAATATATATCAAACTGGGAGCAAACTTTAAGATCCAAACGTTACTAGATTTGTTTCCTCTGTGTAAGAATGGTTAACTAAACTGTGTGAATGTGCTTTGATGTCTAAAATCATATCTAATATTAGGTACAATTCAGTCTTATTTGGAAATAATTTTTGGATTACAATTCTATACATGGAGTTGTGGCAAATCTGGGTTATAGAGTTAATGTTTCAGTCCGATATGTAGCCTGCCCTACACATTAGATATAGTATTTTTCTATTGTATGTTTATTTTTAGCTTTTCTTTTTCCTGTCATGATTTCTGTTTTCCCCGTTACATATTTTTACATTTCAATAGGGACGTTTTAACTAGAAATGGCATATCAAATTTCTTACATTGCTGTTATTAGTCGTAAGAATTAGTTATTCAAATTGTTTTCGTTATCCACCCATATTTTAATGCTTATATTAGTTTTCCCTTTATCTCTCTAATTCCTATATTCTTTTAAATCAACATTTGTATCAGCATTATTTTCCTTTTTTCTTGAAATTATTATAATGAAAGGAAAAAGGAAAATTGAAATCATAGGCAGCACCCATGGATTTATTGGTAGATAAATAAATAATAGTAAAAATAAAGAGAATGTGAGAAAATGGTATAATGTTCTGCTTACAGATTTATGGCTGATTAAATCACAGATCTGAATAAATTATTAGTTTATATTGGAGGCTGATTTATTTAACTTTTTTTTTTACCAAAACTTAATAGTAAAATTAAAAGTAACTGAAATTAAAATTATTGAAACTTGCTTAAACTGAAAATGCCACACGGGGAATTTTGTTTCCTTTCAGTTGAAATTTCCCATTAAAATATTTCTATTTTCTTTTTCCTCTTTTCCCTTTTAGGTGTAGATGTTGTTTTGGACCCCTTAGGAGGTTCAGATACCACAAAAGGCTTTCATCTCCTGAAACCAATGGGCAAACTGGTCAGTTATGGTGAGTCAGAAAGCATTCCCTCAAAGGGCAGCTGGAATTCATCAGGAGTTGAGTCTCAACATCTTCTAAATCCCAAAGATCAGATCTGGACTTTGAGAATAAGTGTGCCTAAATGAGGTCACTTTGCAGTGTCAAGACTCATTCTCTGAAATTCAAACAATAAGTAATGATATAACAGGTCTAGTTTTCTGGATGAAGCCAAAGCTCTCATAGTGATTAGCTGGATGCTCTAGTGAAATTTGTTCTTTTTAGATTTCTTTTTATCCTGTCTTTATTATCTTTACAAATAACTCAAGGTGGTGAACATATCCAACATAGCTTCCTCCTCCTATCTGCTCCACAATAACAACCCTGTGAGGCGAGTTGGGCTGAGATAAAGCAAATAGCCAAAGATCACCCTTCTGGCTTTCATGCCTAAAGTGGGACTAGAACTCACAATCCCTGGTTTCTAATCTGATTCCTTAACCATTAAAAAAAAGTGTGTGTTTGTGTGTGCTTTGGGAAAGGAAAATCTTTCCCGAAATCCCATCCTTGCAAGCTATTATTCTGTCGTTGAGACGGAAATAGACTTTCCTCTGCTTATATAGAGGGCAGGGGTAGATTGAGTTAGACTGACATATATTAGTGTAGCCTAGAATGTCCTCAACTTCTTGCAGATACTTTATTAATTAAATTACAAGGAGCATAAATTCCTAATACATGAATATAGTTTTGGAATGAGAATTGTAGCCTGCTCCTATGCTGCAGTACTTTGCATTTAAAGAAAAAGTCATCTTGATTTTCCACACATTGTCGCCAGAGTTATTATATTGAGGATATTTCTCAATTTTGTAGGTGTAGCCAACTTGCTAACAGGACAGAGGAAGAACCTGATGGCTATGGCAAAGACCTGGTGGAATCAGTTTAGCATCAATGCCTTGCAACTGCTTCATCTCAACAAAGCAGTTTGTGGCTACCACCTGGGCTACCTTGAGGAGGAAGTGGAGCTTTTAACTGCTGTGGTGACCAAGCTAATTGCTCTCTACAATCAGGGCAAAATCAAACCAAAGGTGGATTCTGTTTGGCCTTTTGAACAGGTGAGAATGCTTGGCCGCCCAATGAGTTATTCTCATATATTGTGTTGCACAATACAAAAGTTGCTGCCTTTAGCTTAATTTATTCCCCTCCAAAAAAACTGACATCATTACAGACTTCAATCCCAGCAATTATCTCCGAAACCTCTAAGGAATGATTTCAGAATGTTAGATGCCTGCTGGCCATCTGCCATACTCTTTAAATAGTGTCAGTTGAATGTCCATTTGGTTTGCCTTTTAAATGCTTGGGGAAAGGCATGTTCATAAAAAATTTCTGGCAGACTTTTCAAGGGCAAAAAGAGCATGAAAAGAATGTATAGAAGCCAAAGTTGTGTTGAAGTTTGTGTAAAGCCTTCTTTGACTGATTTTGCATTTGGCCTTCTGATGACAGAAAGTATTTTAAAAAGTGAGTAAGCAAGCAAGTGGTTGAGTCATTTGACCAACACTCCCTCTCCCACATGTACATGCTTCTCTTTCAAGGCATGTGTGATTTTAGTGAACAGTGAGCATGTATTAAATAGAGAATGATGAGTATAACTAATTTAGAAGGCACCAATTTGGGAAAGTCTGACATACATCCTTGGATGCATTCTTCTTGGTCACAAGGAATGAAGTGGTGTGGTCCTTCTTCTGATGCAGGTAGTTGATGCCATGAAGCAGATGCAAGAGAAGAAGAATGTTGGGAAAGTTGTCTTGGTTCCTGAAGTTCCACCGAAGGATGAAAACAAGAAAACAGAGAATTAAAGCAAGGGGCATGGGTGAACTGTTTGACCTCAGGTTGATTTGGGGAACTTTTTTTTTAACTGCCTCCCCTCCCCCCCTACATCTGACCCTTGAGGGAAGTAGGAATGGACAGGTCTCTCAATGCTGTTAATGGAGTAAGTGACATAAGGACTGAAGAAAAAATGTCTTTTCTTGTGATTAGTTGACCATTTAAAGTTGAGGCAAGCTTTTGGGTTTCATAAAATCTTTACAGAGTGGAACTTAAAAGATTGCCCCATCCCTATGAAATTATTGGTTGGTCTAGTTCAGGGGCAGGCAACCTTGGCTTTTTTATGCTGGCTCAGGAATTCTGGGAGTTGAAATCCATGAGTCATAAAAGAGCCAAGGTTGCCTACCCCTGGTCTAGTTTAAAAGAGAAATGCAGCACTTCTTTTGCAGTCTTGATATTTTGCTCTTAAAGGAACCATATAGAGAATTATCTGAAGAAGTGAAAAGTATACAACACAAACATATCAATTGGCAATATCTCGGATTTCTTGATCTTAAATTCACACACTGTTCAAGAATTCCTAGCTATGTTGTTTGTCTCTATGATATCTTCTCTCTTTAGCCATTCTTAGTTTACCTCTGAATACTTAATGACTAGTAAGTTTAAAATGTATAAAACACCCATTGTTTTAGTAGCTATTGACAGTTGACGGTTTCTATAGACACAAATCTTCAAATCTGCTACTTTGGAAGGACACATTTAATAAACAACACACTAGATATCTTGCAGCTGGAGGGAGGTGTGAGGAAAGGAATTTTGTCTCTGGGGTATTCATTTACCTTTGTGTAAGAAAGCTACCACTGCTTCTTACAATATGAAAGTCTTCTGTTCTATGTAGCCAAAGCTAGTATATCATTTTTTTTGGTCAAAATCTAATATGGAGAATGCAAGTATGGGAAATCAAGGAATTGCCAGTGAAGGAAGCTGGAAGATTCCAAATATGGCTTCATTTGGAGACAAATACTGTTTCCATTTAATGGGTTATGTAGACAGACCTATATTTAATAGTACTAAACAGCTGAGTAGTCTGTAATCTCAAAATAGTAATATCATGTTTGTTATCTCCAGCTTTTGGCTTGATATGAGGCTGTTCTAAGGTTTAACTATAAAAACAACAGAGATGTTCTTAGTCAAAGATAGGAGAAATACTTTAGTAACATTATTCCCTCTTACAATTGTTATTTAACTTTGAGATCAGAAATATCTAGATGTGCATCTGTGCCAGAGATTTGCAAATTATATCAAAGATGAGCCTAGTTCAGGCTTATGACTCACTGCAGATGAAATATTCTCTTAATATTTTTATGCTGTAGAAGAAGGGCAATAGGACCAATACTGTACAAGAAACAGATTGGGCAAGAAATAGTAACAGATTTTTGGATTTGTAGGATTCAATCTTGAGATGAAAAAAATCAATTGGTCACTTTGAGAATGTATCCATGAACTATTTCTGCTGAAGACTTTTTTTGTTGAATAGATTAAGTCAGATCCTATTTCATTAACCACTATTTCTGAAAGCTCTTCCTTGAGAATCTTCAGAGGGTGTTTGTGTATGTGTGTCAGTAAATATTTTTACTATTTTAGGAATTTGATCCTCAGAGTATTTCTCAGCACTTTGAATTATCCATTTCTAAAGTTCCTCCTCTTTCCATGAGTGTTGCCAATCTACTTTGGGTGAGGCTGTTATCCTTCATATTCCAGTAAACAAAATATCCAAGAAAAGGCAGGGGTCCCAAATTGCTTCCTCAGCCTTTTCTTTCGATTCTTACAGTTAGTTGTGGCAGAAAAATCCTAAGTCTAATGTTATGTCTTTTATTGGCCTAGATTGTATCAGCTAAGTATTTTTCTTTCTGGTAATTCTTTTTCTTTCAGCCATCAGAAAGCCATCTACGAAAACGTTGAGACCATTTCATTGAGACAAATATATGTGTGTGAGAATGGAAACCATCTTTGACAGCCTTTTGGCCCATCAGCCCTTGCTCGTATTATTTAGGGGGATCCTCAGCTTACAATCTTTTGCAGGACTATGTTTATTTAGCATGTCTGTTTTGTGATTAGAACATTTTCACAATTCTTGCATAATGCTACAGCTTTTCAATCTTTAGTACTGCATCTCATTCCTGATACGTAATTGGGGGTAGAGGGGACAGAGATTCATTTAAAAAAAAATATATAAAATGGGACATCTTACCTTCAATGTAATATTAATATTTTCTCTTCCTTCCCAAACATCCAATTGCTGAAATGGCTGCCATCTTGTTATTATGGAATCAATAAGAAAATATATTTGCAAAACTCCAACTTGAGAAGGCTATTTTAATACACCTTGGCTGTTTTTCTTGTACAGTCACTGTGGAGAAAATACCAAACATCCATTGGAGGATTCTAAACAAAAGACAGAAGTTCTGGAAGTGATTTTTCTTACTATGGATCATTCCTTTTATTATTTTGTATAAATGTTTTGAGATTGATGAGTACATCATTTCTAGAGGCTCAAACAAAGGCTACCAAGCATTTTAAAACATTATTTAATTTGCCATGTTCTTACTATGAAAGATAATACAGTACTTAATACCAATTAATTCATGGGATCCTAGAACTGGGAAGAACCAAATAGTTGGTTGTTTCAAGGAAACGATGCTCAGTGCTAGGGCATATGATTTTTGTGCAGGTAATTCCAAATTCAAACCATGCTAGATAAAGTTAGGAGAGGGGGGAAGAATGTTGGCCCAAAAATATTTCAATGTTTTTTAATAGTTTAATATAGTGTAAGGCAAATTCCTAGAACTTCATACCTTATGGAAGGACAGCTGGTTAGTCAGCCAGCCACTTATTTAAGTCAAATGCAACTTTTCCAGTTTGAAGCCCTTCAGAGATATTGAACTTCAACTTTCAGCATTTCCAGCAGAGAGAATATCCAGGTTCCAAATCTGAAGGGCATCGGGAGGGGAAAATGCAGAATCTGATTTGATATGCAGGTGACTCAATAGATATTGGAGACTAATCTAGAGCATGAGGCTATAGCTCTGATTATCTGATGTGGCATTTCTTCTGCCACTTATTTTATACACAACCTCATACCTTTTGATATTTTTAACCATTTCCCAGGACCTAACCAAGGTCCAATATTTTAGCTTCTGGTCTTAAGATTATAGGTCAGTAGGAGTTTACAGATCCCAATTGTATGATCAAAAGAGAAAATGAGTTCCAAATTTTGTATGATCAAAAGAGAAAATGAGTTCCAAATTTTGTTATTTTAAACACAACAGAGAAAAAAAAAGACACGATCAGCTGTGGTCTCCCAAGCTCTTACAAAATAATGGGGGGAAAGAGTGGAATAGGGAGAGAATCTATTATAAAACTTCATGGGTTTAGATGGTTTTTTCCCCCATTCCTTCCTTCTTTGCTGCTGCCTGGTGCCTTATTCGGGATCGCATTCCAAAACATTTCTAACCTCATCATTGTAAAATTGTAATGAATAGCCTTGCCTTTAAAGGAACTTATATGCTGCATGGTTATTCCCAATTTATTGTGCCTTGTTCCAAACAGTGAGTAAGGTCTAATTCAAGAAGCCTTTGCCAATGTTGACTTGTTAAAAAGGAATGCCCCATCCCAAGGAAACAGTGTGAAATGTACGGATGGCTTTTGTTCCTTAATCAATGAGGACACCTGCATAATTTGTTATTACAGAAATGCATACATTTTGATGCTATTAACGGATACAATGAATTCTCCTAGATATGTTCAACCTTCCTTATGAGAGCCATCAGATACTTTTTGCATAATACTATGAAAGTGTGGTTTAAATCTCCTGACCACTATTTCTGAACCTTAATGGCTGGAAGCTACTTTTAAATTGAGTAGATGTATGGCTAATGAACCACTGTCACATGATAAATATGGAGAACCTGAATTCTGTTAATAGTATAATTTGTGGAACTTTCTATTGGTTGAAACAGAACTAACTCTTTCCTGTAGTGTGCTCCAGTGCCTTTGGGAAGAGATGGGCCAAATATAGCTTTCCATGTATTTCCAAAGGCACCACAAAGGAAAAACTCTTTTAACCCGAAGCAGCAGCAAGTGATATCCTGTTCCCTTCCTGCAACCTTGCTCTCTCATGCTGGAATCTGACAGTTTTTAAATGTTCTTCCTGAATAGAAAAGATCTTTATCTTTGTGCTAAAGTGGATTTGTCTTACTACTAACTTAGCTGTAGTTCTTTTATACAGAAAACATCAAATTTTAAAGCACTATAACTATACTGTTTGTTGCCTTGCTGATTAATATTGTAATCTTGAACTTTTTATCATCTCTTTTATTTTGCTTGATTGCGTGTGTGTGTGCATGCATGTATGTATTTCAGACAATGGTTTTATGGGCCATTTGTAATAATAAAGCCTTTTAATCTCCTCTCCCCACTTTAAAATTAAAATCACTTGTCTTAACTAGTTAAAACAATGTGCTTACCCTCAGAGTTAAAAATGTGTGGGGGTGAGATGAGGGGAGAAATAGGATATTTTCTTGAATTGTCCATAAAACAGAATACAAGGACAACATTTATCACAAGAAGCCTTTCTTGATAGTGTTCGTGCAGAATTCAAGATAGCTGATAGATAAAACTCCAAAATGATGCTGCCTAGATTGCCATGTGTATGGCTGATAGAGCAGTTTAATTGAAAAAGTGTCATATTTCTTGCTCAATGAGCAACATGTAGCCTGAATATTATTGAAGACCCAAAGAGCATATTTTGAAAAGCTTGTTTCCTAGGGCTGAAGTGGGTCCTCAGTGGCATGAACTAACAGCAGCCCTCTTACACAACAGCTCCCACAACTTGATCTGGCAGTTCATACCAGCCCACCTTATTTAGGGATTTCCTCAAATAAAGAAGTGAAAGAGGCAAAGGCAAAGCTCCCTCAGGGAAATGATTTGCAATGTGCCAAAGTTAACATCACGGCTGTCTTTAGAGAGATATAAAAATACTTCTAGAATGAATGAAATCTCTCTCTAATT